GACAATGCAAAATTTGTGACTTTGGAGATCGGCGTTGTCGTTGCTCGCCTGAGGTACTCGGCGATACCAGGCGTCCGTGTCCAATCTAGATGTTTTTTTTTGCACGAACGGACATCACACATCCATTTTCGGATGTCGTTAACAAACCAGCAAACTGTCGCGTAAGCAATTGCGGGTCCAATCCCGCGCGAACGAAGTGAGCTTCGGGAATCGAGCGGGTCTTCTCGACACTGATCTGCCCCATCGTTCAGTGATCACGCAGCAGCCATTGAGTTGCTGTGGAAAAATTGAGCCTGTTGAGTTCAAATTTTGTGAAATTTGATACGGGCCCTCTCCGTCACGAAATATTTTTATGTTTACCGTACGGGAATATTTTTAGCATCTTTGAAGTAACAAAACTCTGACCTCACATCCTTGTGAAAGCAGGAGCAAAAGAGGGAGTTTTAGGGCCCTTATCCGGGTGAGGTCGAGCCTGGCGCGAGCAAATGGCTCGCCGCTACGTTGGATGTGAAATTAGCCCACCTGCATGTTGGACCGGGCATTTGTACCAAAGCGTGCGAATTATGAATCTCAGCGACAAAGATGGAGCATTTTGCTCAATTTAAAAATGGACCAATGGTTGTGCAGGAAGTATGCATGATATTGACCAATTCAATGACACGATCACGACGATAGGAGCGAAGCCCGAGCCATGCATGGGTTGGCTGGAATCCGTGTGTTTTCCACTGGCTCAGTTCGTGCGGTGCCTTTCGCGCTTTCGCAGCGCAGGAGAACGTCAATCGCACATAAATATCAGAATTCTATTTCACCGAATCCAACCGTAATATCTACTACCTCGTTCCAAGTTTAAATGGCAGAGCCAGCTCTTCTTATATGGATAAATGATGACGGCGTGCTAACAAGTGACCCGGACCTTGAAGCTTTGTCGGATTGTCCTTCTGCTTATTTACCATGAGCACTTGGCTCCGCCTTTAAGACATGAGAGAATGGCTATGACCAACGCCTTGCCCACGAGGAGTGACAAGAAATTGAAGGTTCATATATTTTCTATAGCCCATTTCCTTCCATTTTACTTGTGCACACTATATTGAGTTTTATTTCATCTTTCGATGCAAAGCACACGATTCACAACCGAACCCGTTGCGGGTTAAGTTGAAAAGAGACTGAGCGTCTTTGGCGACTCCAATCATCCTCGCTAAAGCAATACCATCTACAGTCCAAATACATATTCACCCACCGATTTCCCAGCGGCACGTAGGCTCGGCCTTGGCCTCCCAACGACGAGATCTTGCCCCGATCGTCCTGGAAGGTCGACATTTTCTTGAATTTAGACGTGCACAAGACGAAAAAGCTCTGTTCGTGGCAGAGGTCGGCTCGCCACGACACTTAACGCAAGGCCATTAAACAGGCACACAACGGCGGATTGGAAAGGGAGCACTGGAAAAACACACCACCACAACCATCGGGGAAAGTCGAATGAAAAAAACATAGTGAATGGTGCATCTACACTGCGGCCTCGCTGCCGTTGTTGTCATCGTTGGGGTCGTCGTCGGGTGCTACCTCCACCGAGAAGTGGCAAAAGAGTGAAGCAAATTCGTACGGCCCCGACCGAGTTCCGTCCCCGGCAAACAATGGCACGGTGCGATACCTAATCAGGCGCGTCGATACAAATCTTTCTGCTCCGATGTCAAGTGTTTACCCTGCTCGAATGCACGTGACGGGCAGCGCAGCAAACCCGATCAAGTCATCGCGATCCAAGTCTTTGTCCATCACCGTCAGGACAAGCACGTGGAGGGCGGCTTCGACGCCAATCTAGACACATGATGTACATCCCGTTGGTGCGAAAAAGCATTCGTCCACGGCTCACGTCGAATGTCGCGGTGAAATTCCACGTGGGATTCAGGCCGTTGTCTGGAATCGTCGGGGTTTTCCGCTGACTTGACACACCGTCGCCCGCCACGTCGAGGACGACATACGGGTCGATGACCTCGCCTGCATCATTGTGTCCGTCATATCGTTTAGGCAATGGAATCTCCATGACAACAACACCACCGACGAGCCGTACCCTTCTTTTGCCCTTCCGGCTTGGGCAAATGCTGGCCACTGATCACTTTGACCGTGATCGATTGGATGGCGCGGGCATAACAACCCAACTGCGACAGCATCGACGGCGGTTTGAGCACGTAGCCGCAGTGACCGTTCTGACGAAACAAGCCGTGGTTCACGTGCATCGCGAGCTGCGCCAGAGAATCAGCCAACACCCAAGTCAGTCCAATCAACACAAGCAAAATGTACATCGGAGGTCTGGTAGTTGAGCGCCACGAGCTGGGACCCGGTGCCCCATCCCAGGAGCGGGCTGTAGTTGGACGAGTCGACGCGGATGCCGGACGGGTACACCCTGGTGACGTGCTTTCGATTGTACGCGAGGAACGCGAGTTTGTTGTCGGCCACCAGTTTCTTTGTTTTGCCTATACAAACGTTGTCAAGCAAGGCGTGCTTGATCCCGATCCCGAATGAAGCGGTGTACCTTCCGAAAACGACGACATTTGATTGCATGACCACGATCGGCTCGCGTCAAAATCGCGAAAATGCACGCCTTTGAAAAAACAGAGCTTGGCCAGCTTGGCCGACACTTTGGATTTCTTGGACGAACGACGGACAGACGGCTTCTTCGTCTCTTTTCCGGCCCGCGCTTTCGTCGCCGACGAGCTGTTCCTGCGGCACGAAGTAGCGTCGTCGTCGTCGTCCTTATCTGAATCCGACTCGCCCGCCGCCGCGTTTGTGAAATCCTCTGGAAGCCCCTGCTTCCCCTTGAGCAGAATTTTGTGCTGCAGAACATGGGGAGATGGTAGGACATCGCCAGGAGCTACGTCCTGCATGCATGCATACTTCAGTGACGAGACGAGCCGCGACGGGCGTACCGCAGTGTACAACCGGTCGCCAAAAATCGAGACCATGATGTCGGCCATGATGCTCTGTTGCGCCTCGCTGCAGTGATTTTCTAGCGATACGATCACGGGGTACGGCGACGCTTCAAACGCATGCAGATGGATGCCCTGGACACGCGTGTCGGCATCGCGCATGGCACATACAACGAAAGGAGTATCGAGGTCGACGTACGCGAATGACGTCGGCAAATTGGATCTTCGTCGTGAGGGTGTGCCCGTGGTAGACCACGGGCTGGCCATTGTCTCCGTCCCAGCAATCTTTGCATGGCAGGTGCACGATAAAGGTCGCGTTGGAATCCAAAGCCATGCATGCGATATATACCGATTTCCACGCAGCGGCAATTGCGCAGGAGCGCCGAAATGTACATGTTGACAGACGAGTTGCTCTGCAACTGGTCGCCTACCACAACCTGCATGAACGCCACCCCCCCCATCGAAACGCAGGAGTAACTCAAGCGATCGCACCTTCGAGGTACGTGTTATGGGACGATGCGATAAAGTAGTGGCTCATGGGCAACGTCATGTCGTTCCGTAGCGCCATCATCTCGGGAATGGCCCAACCGTTCCAAGTAGTACTTGAGATGTATCGGCGAAACCTGCGCGAAGCAATCAGTTCGACGGACCTCACTACCGCATTTCGCGAATGCCGTACTGCTGTCGGGTGCACACGTCGTCGTTGGTGAAGAGTTGTAAAATCGTTGTGACTTCGTCCGGAGTGTGCCCGTTGGCAGTGAGGAACGCTTGAAAGGTAGATGCCGTCATGCGCGGCTCGCCTTCCGCCTGCATCGAGCGAGTAATAACAATGACGCAGCGCTTTTTGCATGGACGAGTCCAACCGTGGGCTGAAACAAGTCGGTTAGCTCAGGACGATGACGCAAGTGCTCCATCAAAGCGCAGAACTCGGTGAAATCGATTTCGCCGTCGCCATCCACGTCGATGTCGGCAAAGAGGTGTCGCAGAGCTGTCTTCGCTAGACGTCACCGTCAGCAGCAACGTGAGGGAACAAAGGCAGGGCAACGTTCGACGACATACCATTCGTCGCGTGGTTGAGGGTATGCGTGGCTCTCTCGACTTCGTTGCGGCTCAGCATCCCGTCCTGGTTCAAGTCGGCATGAATCCAAATTTGGTACAGCAGCGCCGTGTCCGGGTCGGTCGTTCGTGTTGCCCGAACGCGATCCATAAGCGATCGAAGCCCCTGATACACCAAGACCAGATCAAGCGCGACCCGACAAGTCACCATCGCATCCATCGGTCTAACTTTCACTCGACATGCCAGAACCAACGTACGTGGAACCACCGGTCGTACTGCGCCGGAGACGAGCACACGATATCGATTGTTTTTCCAAACGCCAAGATGATGGAAAAGCACAGCGTGCGGTCTTGTACGATCTTATCGTCGAGCCGGTGGAACTTGGCGGTTGTCACCCCTGGCTGCAGCCGACAGATCGACGCAATGTCCACTACGATTCCGTGAGAGAGACAAGCCATGCCGAGAAACCTGGGTTTGTCGGCGTACACGTTGACGGAGTGCGCGAGAGCTTGTCCGCGAGCTTGGAAAATTTGCCTGTGCTTTCCCACCGCAAGCAAAACAAGTCGGGGGTTACGCAATATCGCCGCGACACAAGCTTTGGCCCTCGCGAGCACTTTTTGAGAACTTCCCCTGGCGACAGACACCGCGCTCAACGCGTCAACGTCAGAAAGCGTGCATCTTACCCAACAGCAACGGCTCGTCTGACGGGTGCTGAACGCAGCACATGAGTTTTCGCGACTTGTTTTTGTACAGTTGGCCCTTGGGGCCTTGGATCGCCATGGGAGCTGGAATCGCAGCCACAGGCTCCTCGTGTCTGTCGTGGATGGCCGCCATGAGCTTGTCGTTTCACGAAAATGCCGTTTGAAACTGCAGCAGTTGCGGCTGAACGTGGCGATTTCAATTCTGTTTCCAGCAAAATCGCGAGCCGCCATCCACCCTTGGTGCCCCCCAACGCAAGCGGCATGCTCAAGAGGGCCGACCAGAGGCATATACACCTGTCTCAACGGCAACACGTACATGGTTGGCGTGATAGTCGAAAGGGGCGCCGTACGCGGTGTGCACAAGGGTGAACGCAATGTTGGCGACGATGGTCGTGGTGCGGTTTGGCGCCTTTGTGGCCGTGGAATTTCCCGCTGGGCATTCGCTACTTCACACTGTCATCACGATCGAGTCCTCCTCGTTCGCAACATTTTCCATGTCACCCTTGTTCACTCCCATCGCATCCGAGCCACCTCATTCGCGACGTCACATGTTCCTGGCATTTTCGTTTCCATGCTCAACATGGATAGACCTTGCAACCTTTTCATCCACTCGTTCAGACAACCGCAAGACTCGGGATGGATGGGACAAGAACAAATACCAAAACGTCCGCATGCAGCTCGACTCAACAAGTGTGGTCGGGAGTCGTTTTTCAGTCGCGAAATCGACCTCGGGTGCAGATCCATCAAGTTGGAGGAGGTAAGGTAACTCGATCGGGCGTGTGTCGACGTAATGTGGTGCCAAC